ATTCTCTTACACTTAATTAGCATTGAGGCAATCTGTTGATTCAGTTTGGCAAAAGATGTATCCTCTGAATGAGGAGTTTGATCTGCTTTAGATTTTCTTAAGGGAGTAACAGAAGTGTAAACGTCAGTTGTGGTGAAGGAATATTTGCAATCTTAACTGGATAAAAATAAAGTAATAAGGATCAACTGGATTAGGGGTGGTGTGAAAGTTTGTGATAAAAGATGAGATCATTACCTCTATGGGACTCTGAAATACAGGTAAGAACAAAACCCAATGGCTATTGTTTTTTTTTTTTACTTTTTAAAATAATTTCACAGTAGGGAGTTGCTTGGAAGGAAAAAAGTGTAAGACTAGTCCACAAGAAACCAATTTCAGTCCACTCTATTAGGCTCTATTAGGCCAAATAATTTGCAAGCTTTCAGATTTATTTTTCAATATATCAGCTCACAGGGCTATGCCACCCTTCAAGACAGTAGCCATCCATAGTCAGGAGTGAGCCACAGAGGCAGGGAGACACATTATGACTGTGGGAGATGTGTGGTGGCAGTAATTTGGCTAGGTTCAGGATCTGGAAATCACAAGGATGATATAAGCACTCTTTTGCTGATTTTTGTTTTACACATTTAGATTCCATGTCACACCTGAGGATAATGTGACAAATAAAACTTATATCACAGAAGGCATGCAATGCACATTGTAACATGCTATTTCATCTTACTGTGCCATGTAACATCTGCACATCTTGGCAAGATAGCTCTTCTTAACTAACCTCTGCATACATACTAGTAGTATGTGATTTAAAATTTCCATATTTAATGTATGTATTGCATAGAAAATTCGTTACAGTATTGAGGGCCACTCAGCCCCACAATGCCAAACTGGCACCCCTAATTTTTAGTAATATCCTTATTGGTAATAGGGGATTGTATTAATTGACTGAAAAGGCCAATTTCAAATCTTCCCTCCAGGCAATGCCCATAGCTGCACAGAGGTCATGCGGAGAAGCATGTGGGCCTTTATTTCCATAGTTAAAGTAAAATAATCCTCTTCTTTATGAAACCATTTTTTAAAATCTCTTATTATATTTCACATTGAATTATAGCTAAATCTTTTAGGGATAATTGCTTCCTAAGGGTCTATACATTTGCGCTCTTAGTACATTTTCATAAAATAAGATCTCAGAGTGCTTTGCAGTTCTAATGTGTCAAGGTCTATATGTGAGATTATTCATTTTTTTCTTGGCCTTCATAATTAACATTTGGTCTCTACTGATTCTGATAAATGTATTCCCATAATACACAGAAACAACTGATTCAATTAAACATAGAAAAGTGGAAGAATTGCTGCTTTTTTATTATTTTTCAAATATTCAATCATTTTACTGTTTTTAGCTTTGTAGTGTGTAATTTTCAAGTTCAGAGTTTTCATTAATACACTTTTTCTAAAGAAAAATAAAAATTTTGCCAGTGCACATGTCCTTTTTACTGAGTTGAAGAAGAACAGGAAGTAATTATTGTGAAACCAATAATTTAATGTGAAATTTCATGAAAAATATTTAACTGGACTTGACTGAAATAGAAAGAGGAAGTTTTTTTTTTTTATTCCCACAGGCCTTCTCTATTTTGTAATTTCTAATTAGGTAGCATATTCTTTTCAAAGCAGCTATTAATCTACTTTAAAGATCAGAGACATACTAGTTTTATTTTCAAGGCAAACGTTTGAAAAGAAGTGGACTATTTCATGGCAATATACAAATCAGATGACCTTTACTGACTAACTGAGGTTACTCCATCCAATTATGGTGTCATTAGAACTTGCAAGGGTTATTAATCTCTTTAGAGCTGTTGAGATGTTTGTTACATCTTTTGTTATGATTGGCTTTTTTTTTTTAAAGTCTACCTTTCCTTTTAGTTGTGATTTTTTGTAGATTTATCCTACATGCTTTTGTAGTTTTATTAAGAATATAATAGAGTTAGAGGCAAGAAAGTGACCTGAAGGGGCCATCAGAAGTTTGTCTACAGTAGTGTCATAAAGCAACTGCGCATGATGTCATTTGCTTTCTGCTGCCATGTAAGAATCAGGCCAAGGGCAGGAAATCTCAATGCATAGCAGTTTGGTAGTTGTTCCAGTGATGATGCCTGCGAAGAAGCCACTTTAGAATACTTAATTTAAGTATTCCTTGATGCATTTTATAAATCTTACTAACTTCTTTTTGATTCCCAGAATCAAAAGAGCTGAAGTTTCATAAGTTTAATAAGTTTAGAGCTGGTTTATGGCTATAAAGACCTTGATTTCAACAGAGACACATGCTTTTGAAACATAATCCAGGGAAACTTGTCTGAATCAGTGATGGGTATTCAAATTCCAGTGTAGCATATAATTTTTACATTTTGATAGTTATTCATTTCATCCTTTCATAATAATTTTACATGGGGCAGCAGAGATGACATTAATTCATTGGACAGCTGGAATGTGAGTTTGGAATGTGTCAAGGCTCAGCCACATCCAGGGCACCTCTCTGCCACCTTCAGCTATTGCCACTGTTGTGCTGTAGTTACTGCAGTGCTGTGCAGTGATGATGGAAAACAGCTGCTGCTTTGCCTGCATGTTGCAGCTAACAGATGAATGCTGTGTTGTTCACGGGTGAGATGTGTGTTACACCTTTCTTCAGCTCCTACCTACAAAGTAACTAGACACTGCAAAGAGTTTAAAACTTGCTATTGATCCAGTTGTTATGGTGTTATTGTTTGGTACATATTGCTTTTTATTTACAGTGGTTGTTTTTTGGTTTGTTT